CTCTTGCTTACTTCATACCCAGAGACCTATTAATCATATTACTATATATTTCGTCCACAGACAGATAGATAAGCTTTGGGAGCAACAATTCGGGCTTGCTTTGTTCATTGCCATAGCACTGGTTACCTAGCAAAGCTCTAACACAAAGCAGTGATCAATAAATATCTGTTGGTTAAATAAAGATGATAGAACATGCCACATCCCACTCAGTAGTCACTGGGAGAGACTGAAGGAAGAGAGCAGGTGGCTGGCCACAGAGTGCTTCATGACAGTGGCACCCAGGGTAGCCTTTAAGGGTATCGAACAGGGATAAAGGATGCCCAGAGCAGAGAGGTTAAACCTCTTACTGGAGTAGGTAGCAGGTGGTTGATACCACCAACAACTAATCAATAGCTGGTCTGTGCCAAGAACTATCCTAGCCTACACCTCTCACTCCTGTATCCTGAGTCTCAGAAGGTGGGACTGGAGCTGCCACTGCTCTTCTAAAGGACCCAGGTGTTGGCAGAGGCTGCTTGTTCGTTCCTGGCCTCCCAGACTGGAAATAATCACACAGGATCTATATTAATTGCAACATTCCTTGGCCTATTAGCTTGGGCTCCTTATTAACTTACTCTTACATCTTAAATTAACCCATTTCTATTACTTTATATTTTATCACAAGGCTCATGGTTTACCGGTAAGGTTCTGGTGGGCAGGCATCTTTCTCCTTCAGCGGCTACAGAGCGTCTCCCTTACTCTGCCTTCTTTCCTCCTCTACCTCTGCTTGGAATTCCTGTCTTGCTATGTTCTACGCGGCCATAGGTCCAAAGCAGCTTCTTTATTAGCCAATGGTAATAAAACATATTCATAGCATACAGAGGGGAATCCCACGCCACCCAGGTTTGATTTCTACGCCCCACATGGTGGCTCACAACCATCTGTAACACCAGTTCAGGGGATCTGAGGCCCTCTTCTGGCCTCCAGGGGCATTGCGTTCCCATCATTCTGCATATACAGACAGATAGGCAAAATAACCGTACCCATAAAACAAAAATAAACAAAGCTTAAAGAAAAAATTTAAAGAGGACACCTAGGCTCAGCAATATTAAATAACTTGCTCTTTCCACAAAGACTCGCAGAAGAGCACTCGTGGCAGGCTTTATTTACAATTTCCCAGACTGGAAACAAACCCAAACGAAGTACCAAGAGTGCTGTATCTACACGAAGCAATGTCACTCAGCAACAAAGTGGAACAAACTACACACACACACACCAAAAGAATCTGAAAGACAGACTGAGCTAAAAAGAGGCCATACTCAAAACGCCTATGTTGCATATGAAATTCCGGGGCTTAATTGGAGTTACTAGTCCTAAATTGATCTGAAACAAACTGTGGAGATAGAAATTAGAAAAGAAACCGTCACTGGGACAGTGGATGGGTGCTGACCGGGAAGGGCACAATGGGGCTTTCTAGGGTAATGGAAATATTCTCTACCTAGACTGGATTAGTGGGTACATGGGTGTTTATATCTGCCAAAGCTCACTTACATTTTATTAAACAGTCATACTCAGTAACAACAAGGAACTAGAGAGCCTAGAGGTGGCTTGGTAGGTAAAGGCACCTGCTGCTAAACCTAGCAACCTAACTTTGACTTCTAGGACACGTACAATGGAAGGAGAGAGCCTCAAGTTGTCCTCGGACTTCCACGCGTGCCCACATGCCTACATAAATACATGTATTTTAAACTTGCTTTTAAAAAGCTGTACATCATTTTCTCTAGTTCACAAACCACACATGGAGCTATGAAGCCAGGTTCACCCTGTCAGTGGCTAACTGGCATCAGTCTGCCTTAGCTGAGTTCGGAGCTACCAACCTGGTAAAGTGCCTTCCAAAATCTGAATGGAAGGAATAATTCAAATCTCAGTGGCTGGAAATCATAGGTCCCCAGCCCCCAAACCACAACAGACTACTGTCCTGCTGTGACTTGAGAAACAGAAATGTAGATTCAACCTCAACTGTGCCTTTTGCCTGCTCAGTTACCCATAGGTATACTGCTCCATGACTCAGTTTCCCCATCTATGAAGCAAAGAGGAGATCAATAGTCCCCTTCATGAGATCCCAGATCCTCCACGCCAGAGGCCAGGAGCCGCTGTGCTTACCAAGCATCAATACTACATTTTTAAATGTAACATACTTGCCTTTTATCCGGTAAGCAATTTTTTCTAATGCATGAGAGTGTTACCGTGATTAATAAATCACACAAATATTCTGAAGCTAAAATGAAGCCACGGCGGCTTTTTATCATTGTGTGTTTACTCAAACAAAAACCACCAAAAGAACAGCTAGTGCTCATGACTTCAATTTAAAGAGGCTAGGAATCTCCGTGTAGAGGATTGCTAAGGGGACAGTCACCAAGGGGATGGTCGCCAAGGGGACCGTCGCCAAGGGCCCTTCCAGGTCAACTGCCCCACGGTTGTCTGACATCATTTGGGCAAATGCTTAAGAGGCAAGCCTCTTGTCTTGGCTGCAGGAACAGAGCCCCCAGTGTGTGGGCTGTGTTCTGGCTCTGTAACCCATTTTACAGACCCACCGCCCCAGTGGGCTATTACCACACCTTAGGTCTCAGTTTACCCTCCAGCTCTGATAGTGAGCCGCTGTGAGGGAGCTTGAAGCTTGGACATTTTCTGTTCCACAACCTTTCTACATCAGTTTCTGGAGTCTGGGGGGAAAAAATGGAGTTCCTAGTCACAGTGAACCCCATGAACCATCACAGAAGGCCACAGCCCGCTGGGGAGTCTGCCAACAGGACTCTGGCTCAAGCTGAGCCAGGTGCTCCATCACCCCACCCACATCTAAGCGCATGGTCACACCTTCTGTTCAAGCATTCTAGTGGCTTGTCCCACCCCGCTATGCTCAAAACTTCTCCAGCTATGGGTCAGGGTCCTACAGCACAGAGAGAAACCCAAATCTCCACCCTCCACTTCTGCGCCCTCCCCAGCGAGTTGCGATCTGGAGGTTCTTGGTGCTGAGTCAGAGGTTTCTAAAGCTTCCGAATAAAATACGCGGGGTGGGGGTGGGGTAGGATGGGGGGCTCGGCAGAGTCCTGCTTCCCAAAGGCGGCAGTGAGAGACAGTTTGTCCCCACTCTGATGGGGTTTGCAGATACATCACCTCCAAAAGACCTCTTTTAGCTAATCTCTACCTCCTCCTCAGCCTGGGTACCCAGACTTGAAGGCACAAATGCCCAGTCTCTATCTCGGCCTCTAAACCAGAGGGTGAGCCCTGTCTTACCCATTTGGTGTTTTAAACGTAACAAAGCCAGAGGCAGAAGATGACCCAATGCCCCATCCCTTAGCTCCTTGTAAAACTCCACTTGCTGTTTTTAATCTATTTTCCCACCACCACAGTGGAAGCGGCTCCGGAACCCGCCTTCTCTCTAAGGCACCATCCCCCTCTCAGGCTTCCAACTTTGCGGATCAGCGCACAAAAGATAATCTGCTCTCCCCTCGGCGAGATGCGTGCCGCCCACCTCCTCCCCGGGACGCCCCCCGCCTGCGCGGCTCACGCCTCCCGGACCAGGGTAAACTGCAGAGGGCTCCTGGCGGCAACCGCTCCCTTAGGGCCTGAGGACGCACTTGCAGAGGCCCAGCCCCGGAGGCCCTGGATCGGTCGGACGCTCTGCTCCCGCAGTATCCCGGCAGCACCCCTGCAGCCAGGAGCTGGGCGGACAGCCTGTGGGGAAGGGGATAGACCCCAGAGGGTCGCGGATCCAGCCACCCGACGCGCACTCACCACGCAGCACCGCAGAGCCCGCGCGTCTGCGCCCCGACCGCCCGGAGACCCACGCGCGCTGTTCAATCCGGGCTCCGAGTGACGAAAAGCCGCTCTCGTCTCCAGCCTGACCCGGACCGACGCACAGACCCGGGGACGCACCGACCGTCTGGCTTCCCAACTAAGTTTCAAAGTTCCCTTCCCCACGAGGGAAGAGGATTCGGGCAGCGTGGCTGCCCCTGACCCTGCCCGATGGGCTAGAAGAGGAGCTGGGGTCCGACTCCTCAGGTCCCAGGATCCAGGCACAGCCTCCTGACGGCGCCGCGTTACGGGGACCTGCCTGGAGTTGGGGACAGAGATCCTGGAAAAATGGGGGGTGGGGGGCGGCTAGAGGTGCTTCCTCACTGCAGCCCAAGCCGAAGGGACACTAGCTCCCGATTCAGGGAAGGGACAGGCCTTGATTGGACGCCACCAACATAGAATCCCAGGCGCCAAGGGGGCAGTGACGGCCAATTAGTAAACGGCCCAATTAGTGCGCGGCAGCGACAAGTTAAAACCCCGACGCGCAAGTGTGGACGACCAAGGGGTGGGGGTGGGGAGTAAAGGGTGCGGGAGCCCGTGACTGTTTCTGGGTGTGCCCGGGTATGACTGCGAGGCCGTCAGGGCGATTCGTAGCTGAGGCTTCTAGTCCAGGGGATGGATCAGTGTGACCGTGTGCACTTGTGGGTCATTGTGAGTGTGAACTGGGACTGTCGGAGCTACTTCTTTGTGTGGCTGTCCCCGGTTGTCACTGGATGTGACAGCGGGTAGGAACGTGGGCAGCAGCGTTGTGTGTGCGGATGGGTGAAGTGACTTGTGTATGTTAATGTAGCCGTGTACGTGGGCGAGAGGCTGAGTGTGGTTGATGATAAATGACTGGCACGGTGACTTATGTGGGACGGTGAAGGCTGTGTGTGGTGCCGCCTGGTTGGGTGACAGAGAGTCGCTGCGCGTCGGCTTGTGAATGAATACGAAGTGTGGGTGAGTGTGTCACCGTGTCGTCGTGCGGGTGGCTGTCGGGCTGACTTCGGTCTGTGATCCACAACTCGGGGCGTGTGTGTGACCGCGAGGGTAGCGGTGTGAGCGGCACGTGCCCATCGACGGGGCTGTTGTGTGCGTGTCCCCCGTGTGAGCCCCAAAGTGGCCGCGTCCGCAGCCGCGAGGTGACTCCTGCCCCACGCTCGAGCCCGGGACGCTCGGCCCCTGCCTACCTTGCCGCCTACCTTGCCGCAGTGGTAGTAGTCCAGGTGCGCCAGGCCGGCCGTCTCGGCCCCGGGCCGCGCACCGACCGCGGGCGCCGAGGGATACAGGCGGACGTCCATGGCGGGCGCGGCGGCGGCGGCGGCGGCTCCCGCGGGCAGTGCCTGGGCGGGCGGCGGTGGGAGCCCTCTGCGAGCCGGTGTGCAAGCGCGGGGGGCGGGCCGGGGGCGGCGCCCGGAGGGGAGCTACGCCCTCCAGCCACGCCCTCCCCCGCCCCGCCCTCAAGCGCTATTGTTCGGGCCTCGGGCGCCGCCGAGGGCAAGGGGGCCCTGGTCCTCGTCTGGGTTGAGCAGTCGCCCGGGTCCCGCCCAGCCCTCCACCCGTAGTGTTACTTGCCAGTCCAAGTGAGCCTTTCCTGTCCCGCCTTTTGTCGCCAAGAGCGAGAGGAAAGAGAAAAGCCCCTAGGCCACACCTGTTTAGAAATGGGACATTTCCCACCCTAAATATTGGGGGCAGTGTCAGTTGGCACCAGGCATGCCGGGCCGTAGGAAGTGGTGGCATCTGGAGATGGGTGCTGTCTTAACTGTCGAACTGGGCCCCTTGACTCACACGAATCTTAGACTAGTCTTCCTGCCCCCCCCCCAACACACACACACACACACACACACACACACACACACCGCTCGAGTTGATCTGAGTTACTCAGAAAGAGGTCAGGGACCAAAGTGCATAAAGGTTAATTTCATATATGGGGGAAATCGAGGCCGGGACTTGCAGCATCAGTACCGGAGAACATCCAGAATTGAAAGCACTTGGACAGAGACACTGGAAAGTCCCCGCCCCTTTTAGTGTAAGAACTGAAAGGCTCCAAAGCTTAGTACAGTGGGCCATCATCCAACACCTTCTGGACAACAGAGAAGCGGTGTGGATCTGCCTCCCTTGCCCTCTGTCAATGCATCAAACTTCCTCGGACACTTGCTAGCTGCAAGAACTGTCAGGCTCCGTCTTCTCCTCCTTTACTTCATTAACCACCATCACCACCACCACTACTAACCCGCTACCCACCCTCACCACCCCATTCAGTTTTGGGATTCTGGATTCTGGAATATTTCAGGTCTGTCTGGGAAGGACCGCTGGAGAAAATGGCTCCAGCCTCTTGCCCACATAGAAGACAGCTAGGAACTAACAGCTCTACATGGCTGCTTGGACTTGGCTGGTCCTAGCCAGGAGCAAGAGCCTTTGTAACCCCGAAATCCTGGCATGGTGAGACCAGTGTGGGAACTGATCTTTCAGTGGAGGTTAGAGAACAACAGAGGGAAATTACAGCCCAGAAAGGAAAGAGCTTCTAAATAAACTTCAGTCATTGTTTCTAGAAATACCAGGCTCAGTCTTATCAAAAAGGAATTTCCCACAGCCCCCCCCCCCAGATCTGGATACCCAACTAGTCTGACAATATTGACTGAAACACATGCACACACGCACGCACACGCACACACACTCCACTTCTCCGCATCTCTTTATCATAAAACAAGTATTTCACATGCTCGTGGGCTGTTTCTGCGTTCTCTGTCTCATTTACGTTTCTCTCCTTGTGCCATTAGCACACTGGATTACTCCAGCTTTGTAGTACATCTTAATTTTAATATTAAGAAAAACCCACCCATTCTTTAAGTTCTTTAAGGCTTCCTTGGCTATTGACTTTTGTACTTTAATTTAAAAAAAATCAGCTGGGGTTTTTATTGTTCTCACAGTAGATCTTTATGTCGATTGGGATGAAGTGAGTATTTCCGATGTCAATTACTTTTATCCATGAGCATGGTATATCCACTTATTCCAGATTTCTTTACAAGTTCTCTCAGCAATGTTTTGTATGTAAAAGCCTGGCATATCTTTCATTAGATTTTCAACAGGCTTTTGTTGTTGCTGTTTTATGCTATTATCAATTATTGACTTTGTTTGTTGCTAATACGATGGTGAAGGCTTTCTAACGACTCCATAAATACTTGGACACTCCTCCCAGGGAGCAGAGTCTAATAAGTTCCCTCCTGAAAAAGTCCGATCTTACGGAATGGTACTTAGCAAGCAGAGAGACTTCTAAGGCTGCTAGTTCATAAAAGCTGATACAGCCCCACCTGCTTGCCTTCTTCTTCGGGTAAGCCATCTCATGTAAGAGGTCTGGAAACACAAGAGGAGCCCCCCAAAGGACACAGCTGAGTCTTCCTCTAACCCAAAATATTCAGTATTTGGGCAAAGAGACAGGTAGGATCTTCGTGAGTTCAAGACCAGCCTCATCTACATAGTGATTTCCAGGCCCACCAAAGCTGCATAGAGTGACTCTGTTTCAATAAATAAATAGATAGATAAATAGATAAATAAAATGTCCAGTTGTCATGACAGGTAATAAACGATTGTTGTTGTTTTAAGCTGCAAAATTTTGAGGTTGTTTCTCAAGCATATAAGCCTGGAACATACTAGAAATAATGTTTTACATAATGTCCTTATAGCCGGCAGCATTGCAAACTCATTTGTTTATTCTAATCATTTGTTCATGGATTCTTTGGCTTTTAAAAACCATAGAGCTATTTCCTGTCCCATTTGTAAAAATGAAAGCTTGATCGTACCTTTCAATCCTCGTACGTTTTGTTGCTTTTTTCTTACCTTGTCTCACTGGCCGGCATCAGCAATAGAACATTTGAGAGAAGCCACCAGCAGCCAACCTTGCTCTTTCCTGAGCACAGAAGGAATAGCAATACTCACCACAAACTGTGTGCTTGCTGGATTTGTGTGTTCTCATTTTTTTGCTTTGTGTTTGTTTTGGGGGTTTTGATTTTTCAAGAAAGGGTTTCTCTGTGTAACAGTCCTAGCTGTCCTTTAAGTTGTTTTTGTAGAGCAAGCTGGCCTCGAACTCACAGAGATCCGCCTGCCTCTGCCTCATGAGTGCTAGGATTAAAGGCATGTGCTACCATCACCACTGGGCTTGCTTTGTGTTTTATGGATACCTCTACTGCGTGTGTGCGTGCATGCATGCGTGTGTGTGTGTGTATGTATGTATGTGTGTGGAGGAGAGACGGAGACAGAGAGAGACAGAGACACAGAGACAGAGACACAGAGACACACAGAGAGACAGAGACACAGAGAAGAGAGAGAAAGAGAGAGGGAGAGGGAAAGAGAATCCTTTGAGCTCAGGAGTGAGAAGTGCTCAGCAAACAATGTGAAACACCCCAGTGCTGATCAGGGAGTCAGTCTCTCCTGTCCCATTTCCCGTTGCCCACTGCCACAGACTTGGCCTCACCAACTCTAGCCAAAACTGTCAACCAAGAGCACCAGGGTTTGAAGGGTCATGTGAACAAAACTGCCACAGGGTTCTCTGGAATCTGCCAGCAGCAGCCACCATTATCAGCCCTTCCCTGAGAAGAAGGAGGACACCAACAGGACACTGGAAGTCTGGTGTGAAGGCCACCAGGGAAGACAGATCCCAGAGCTTGGCGTTATCTTGTTCTGTTGCATCATCAGGTAGGACACTCTCCTGAAGGAACACCACAGCCATGTTTGTTGGCTTCAGGATAGGAATGGGTCTTGAGCCCTCCTCTCTTCCTGTGGGATGCCTAGAGAGAATGGACAGGCTGACTTTTTTCCCTTTTGAATTCGAGTATGACCACGTGACTCACTTTACCAAAGGGAACGTGAACCAAAGGGACGTGTGTCACCTCTGAGTGGGAGCTTTAAGAGACTGGTTACTTAGCTGAACTTGGTGGCACACGCCTTTAATCCTAGCACTCAGGGGACAGAAGCAGGTGGATCTCTGTCACTTTGAAGCCTGGTTAACACAATGAGTTCTAGAACAGCCAGAACTGCATAGTGAAATCCGGTGAGGGTTGGGGGAGGATGTATTTAACCCTCTTCTTTTCCTTGGTCCATGAAAAGCAGTAGCAAAACTTAACTAATTTTTTTACGATCCAGTTTAACTTGCTTGCTGGGTAGAGACCGTGAGGTGCTAACTCAAGGCTTCAACTGTTCTGGGAACTGTTTTCACACAGAATCAACAGTGCCCACTTTGCCAAAAATATAACAACACACGTACCTTATGTGTTTCTCCGGCAGAGGGACAACGGTTCCCCCATTTTGGTGACTGTGATTAATACAGGGGCTGATATAGCAGGTATCCAAGTATGGGACATAGGCTGACCTGGACATCAGAAAATGGGGGTCCACAGAGAAAGGCTCACTTGTCCTATGGGAGGTCTTCTAAAAGTCAAGAGATAAGAATTGTTTGAGCCAAAGATTCTAGTGCCAGGAGTTTACTGGCACTAGATCCCAGGACACACAGGTGGAGGGATGAGGAGGAGAGCCAGGGGAAAGTAGCTGCCAAGAAAAGGTGCATTGTTGTGGGACTGAACTCCACTGGAGGATTCTGGAAGCCAGAGCAGTGCAAACACAGAGAGTTAGTTATCCCATTCAAGGGGCAAGGAACTGGGGGCTTTACTTAGCAAGCCCTAACAGCTGGGACTAAGCCATGCTGAGACAGAATATTTTCCCCAGCATTTTGTCCTGGCATTCAAAAGTGAAGACCCTGAATCAGAGATATCCTGTGGGTAAGCTAACGCAGGACTCAACAGGCAGAGGTTGTGGGGGAAGCACGCTGGATTGCTGATGGTAGTGGGCATGGAGAAGGGGTTAGGATCAATGGGGTCTACCACAGGGCTCAGAACTCTGCTTTCCTTCCACGCTTCGCTCTGCCTGTGCACAAAACCAGCATCCCCTCGGGAACTTACTAGAAATGGGTACTTATTGTCAGAGGGCAGCAGTTGGGCAATCTAGAGCCCTGGCCACTGTACTCCCCTATGTATGGGCCAGTAATACTTCAATCTGTTCATTATTTCTGACAAGTAGCCAAGCCAGCCTGCAGCTCCTGCCAACTATGTCTACTGGGCAAAAGATCAAATGGATACGGCAGAGACTTCGGCACAAGGTCACCTGCTTGGTCCAGTACACCGAAGAACACAAGACAGAGACACTGGCGTTCTGGATTCAGATCCTGATCTCTTTAGCTTGACTTCAGCCAAGCCTCTGAAGCTCCTTGGGCCTCAGCTTTCACTTCTGCAAAATCAGGTGTTAGTACCTGACTACGGGTTAGCACGTGGGAGAGAAATCAGCAGCGCTCAGTGTAAATGAGTCACACTGAAAGGAAATAATTAGAAAGGACCGTGTATTATCTAGAGGGAAATACAAAGCAACATTAACAGCTAAGAATTTACGGCCTGCCTGACAGAGGCTACTCCCCTTGTCAATCTTGTCAATCACCCCAGGGAGGAGGTGCTACTTCTATTACTTCTTTAAATGTAGAAGTAAAGCACAGAGTGTCCGACTCACCTGGTACACGGTGTACCAGGAAATACAACTGGTCGTGCGTCTACAAGGCTTCCTCAAGGAGCCCTAGGGATACACAGCATCTATCTAATCTTACCCATTGCAGCTAGAGAGGGAAAGAAAAGTATTAATGTTCGGATGGAATTGTATTTCTTTATTAAATGAACTCGAGACTTGAAATATTTGAAACAAAAATATCTTTTAATTTTTCTATCTATATTAATAGAGAAGAACATTATTGAAGTGTTGTGTGGTTATCTTGCATCCAGGAAACTTCCCAAGCTCAATTTATTCTAGTCCCCCCCTTTTTTTGTCATTTTTCTTATTTTCTGTATGGAATATCATGGAAACCCCAGAAAGAAAGGAGAAAGATGGCATTGGCTCCTCTCTTCTTTTCTAATTATTTCTTTCCTTTGTTTTTGTTTTCACCCCCTCCCAGTTTTATTAAGATACATACATATATGTTTGTATGTGTTTGTAATGTAAGGTCATATCCATGTGTATATATGTATATATCTATATTATATCCATCTTCCCTTTGTAGCACTTTTCACAGCTAGAACATTTCAGATCTAATCTGAGCAACTTCCAAGCAAACCACACATTGTTAATATTAATAGCCTTTATCTTTCCTTATTGCGTTGTCCAGCACCTCTAGAGTCTGCGCTGACTGGACCTAGTAACGGCAGGTCAGGTGCCCTTGTCTGTTTGCTGCTTGGATGGACGCACATCTTACACCCCACCTCTCAGCCACCGAGGAGACTACTAACTGGTAGCCTGGTGGTGTAGCAATGAAAACCTATCCTGTGTCCACAGGCTGGAATTCTACACGATGTTCT